GGGCCGCACGAGCACCGCCATCGCGCGGTGGAGGCGGCCGTTGGCTCGCCGCAGTGTTTCTGGTGGCTTTTCAGATCTGCGAGGACGGAGAAGCTCTTCTTCTGGCAACGGTGGCATGGGAAGAGCTTCGGGCAGTGGCTTCTCTTGAAATGATTCCTGACACAGATCACTGATTTCAATGGCCGGAATCGCTTGTGTCTCTGGTTCCTGTTGCAGCCTTCGTGCGGGCACGAGAACAGAATTTTCCGGTGACCGGCAGTCGAATCATGTGGCAGCACCTCCGTCGGCGTCCTCGGCTTCGACAGCGCTTCCGTGGTTTTGTACTGGTCACCGTGGGCGCGCATATGCATCCGCAGATTCGCGTCGCGCTTGAATCCTTTGCCACAAATCTCACAGAAATGGACGTGCTCCGCCAGAATCTCCACCGCGTCGAGCTCAATCACGTCGTAGTCATCCAGATTTTCGTGGCCCTGTTTCTCGCTAGGGTTCGGAATCCGGAACACGTGACTCGGATCCTGTCCAGGCGGCATCGCCGGCGCTTCCGGAGGTGGTGGAGGCTGCTGTAAACATGATAGAAGAGCAGAGCCATTGACGACGACCTGTTCTATCGCTGCCGAAATCTCCGACGATATTACGTCCATCTGATCCCTGCGGAGGATGATATTTCCGTTGACGGTTTCCGCAAGGAAGCTCTGCAGCGAATCCATCCGCATCCGGACCGTATCTAGACGCCGGAGAGGATCGCAGAAGCCGGAGTAATCGCCGGTAACAGAAAATTCCGGCGAGGTGTCATAAGTTTCGCTGGGGTTAGCCATATTTTCCGGTGTGGGGGAAGATACAGAGAAGTCAACGAAGGTGGAGCAGTTTCAGTTTCTCCACTCCAAATGCCAAGGGAAGCAGGAAGAGGATACAAAGCGCGTAATCGTCAACGTCCACGTGGCATCGTCTCGAATAAACATTATAATATACAAAACGAAGCTTCCAAACTAATGATACGATGAAGACATCATTTTTGACATAATATGTAATTTAATGTTTTGTGGACCGGAGTCACGACGATTGATTCAAATGAGATATTATTAAATTAATTGCTAATTATTTTATTTGGGGATAATAAAAAAATAAGGAGACAAATAAGATAAGAATGACATGACGAGATCGCATGCCCTCTGTACTCTGTTCTCGAGGTTTATTAAATTAATCACTAATTATTTTCTTGGGGGTGGGGGG